GAAATTTACTTTCAAGACAAGAAACTTAATTTTTCTACAGGCTTCAATTCAATCGATTGGCAAAGAAATATGTTCCTCTGGACATGATTAAGGTTTTAATAATTCGTGATGGAAATGATATAGAGATTCAAATAATTAATAAGTTTTTTCTAATTATAATATATGATAGAAATGTATACAGATATCAAATAATAAGTTTTTTAGGTCTCATTAATGTGAAACGGTTTTATTTTCAGTTTTATGGTTTTTAAAAATTAAACTAAACTTGATTGTTTACAAATTATAATTTCCTTGCATTCCATTATCCTAAAAATCACATATGAATTCTGGACTAGATCTCAAAAACTTGAAAATTATTATTTTTTAGTATTTAAAATTTGAATATAATTTAAACAATGTTAGTAAAACTGGATTGCAAAACAAATAAATTGTTATTGGGTAAACAAGCTTACTTTTGTAAAAACAATGAAACTAATAATTAACATAGTTGTTGTCAAGTTAAGTGCAAAAAAACATAAATATATGTTAAGTTAGTGAAAATCTTTGTATAACCAAAATTAATGTAAGAAAATGGTTGTAAAATGAAATTTGTGAGAGAAAATAAAAATGTTTAAAAAGAAGAAGATGATAGATATAATATGTGCATATAGAGGTCGTAGAGATCAGGTTAGTGAGAGTTGAAAAAGAGTAATAAGAGCAAGTGTGCTTTATCGCATTAGAAATTAGTTATCGATGGGGCGTTTGGTAATGTTTCCGTTCCTTTTTTCTGTTTCATTCATTTTAATAAATAAAAATAAAATTACATGCCTCCAACACCTACCGATCCAATAATGATAAAACAATATTTTTCTTTATGTTTTCGAACAAACTCACAAAAAAATAAGAAATTTGTTTTTGTTATTTCCAAAATTTCTATATAGTTTTGAGAATGTTTCTAAAAAATGAGAAATAATAAACCTACATGGTTGTCAAATACTTAGTTTTCTTAATATAATGAGAAATAAAAAATTAAACAAGAAGCGGTAACATCACCAAACAAGCCAAAGAGGCCTTAAGGTCCCTCATTTAATAAAGTTTATTGTCTATGTGTCTAATGTTTTTCAAAACATAAATAAAAAAATCGTTTTATCATTTTTTACTAACAATAAATATTTTGTTTTTCTTTATTAAAAAAAATAATAAACGAAAAACAAGATGAACATTACCAATTTCTCATCTTTTTTAAGTAAATAGAAACAAATTTATGTGCAGGACTTTTAATATTTTTCGTAATAATTTCTTGTTTATGGTTCTCTAGTATTTTAGTTAAAATTAAAAATTTATAATTTTTATATGAAATTTAATTTTAAAAATTAAATATTCAAAATTTGTATGTTACGTTGGTTCATTTTATAAGTCAAGAATGATAAAATGATGCTTTTATTTAAAAAAAATTGGAAAGAAACAAGAAATTGTTG